CAACAACAGATTTTAAGATAACAAAAATGCTGAACACCAAGCCTGAAGGTCTGCCCGTAGCACAGCACAGGCTGAGTGCTCACACAGGACCCAAGCACAGACTAAAACAGTCAAAAAGGGAGTATTTTAGTCTCCCCTAGCGTAGTGTGGTTGGTTTTGTCTTTATCCCAGATGCCAGGGAGGCTCCTCTTTTCGGTTATGAGAATAAACGTCCTTCTGTCCCGTATGGTGCTTTCTGAGCCATGGCCGTCTCCCGGGCATCCTCCACCACAGGCAGTGGGTGTCACCGCTCTCCGGTCTCAATGACGTCTAACATCGTAGGTCTGTGTTTTCCTTATGCAATGTCTTCAGTTCCAATTTAAATAAAAAACAAAGAGCAGTGGCAACAATCCAACTAATGGCCTTCTCTAGAAGCAGAATTTGGCTTCAGATGCTATTAATCTGGGCAAAACACCGCCATTTCTGAAAGGTGACTGAAAAAGATGACAGCATTGCAACTGTAATACGATTGCAAGTGTAGTAAAACAATATTTGTGTGCCTGTGTGTGTGTGTTTGTGTGTGCATCGACCTCACTGCACACCTTGCAGAGGATAAGGTTCACGACGCAGCAGCAGAGTCCCACCAAGTCAGGGCAAAGGCTCTTTCTTTGTCTTGGGTAGGAAGCTGAGAGCTCGGCCCTGGCCTTGGAACCTCTAACTTGGAACCAGGCCTAGGGAAATGGCTGCGTTGCTGTACCTGAACAGCTTTCTGTCCGTCCTTAAGGCTCCTTGCTCTTTTGGCAACCTTGCGGTGTTGCTTCATGACTCTGCTCAGCCATGGTGAAAGGAGCAATTGCAGCGACACTTTGCTTTGTACTCTCATGAATGGCTGTGAGCTGGGAGGCAAAAGGGCACTAGCAATGAGCTTTTTGGCTTATTACAAAGAAAATAAAATCTATCACATATAGAGAACTCTTTTTATTACAGAGACATGTTAACAAATAAAACCAGCATTAAATTGCCACAGAACACGAAAAACCTGGCACAGAGAGCAGCTTATAATAAATTTGCTGTGGTGTCATGTGTGGCGCAGTTACTTTTTGAATCACAACTGCGGGTTCCCCGGCCATTTTAAAAGGGAATGAGCAAAGTACCTCCGAGCTGCCTGGGAGCAGGCGAACGGGCGTGGGGGGCGGGCGCCCTTCTCCTCCAGATCCACAATGTCCCCCACGAACCGGCGGGAGCACCCTGGGCTGCCGGCCATGCCCGGAGCCTGTGGCAAGCTTCCATCCCCGCTGCCCCATGGTTGCACACACGGCCCCGGCCACACAATGCTGGTAACCAGCACCAGTCCTCTGCCATACCAGCATCTGGTGTGGCTGCCAGGACTCAGGTATTCTGCCATTTGATAGCGGGCACCAGGACGTGCCAGCACGGAGCGCGGCTCCACCAGTGGTTATGGTACAAGAAAGGATTTCTGTGCCTCTAAAAGTCTGCTTTGAAATGGTTAGAAAACAGCTACCACTCTGTAATTCCAGGATTCTGCCCTACAGTGCAAGGACACTTTGTGCAGTCAAAGAGGGCAGAAATGAAGGACACTCCATCATTCGCCAAGTGCAAATACTATCCCTGTCTAACCAGAATCAGGTACAAGAAAGCTGGAGAAGCAGATACTGACACCAAACTATGCCAGTGTATGCTCCAACCGTGCCATGAAAGGATGGACCTGGGCAGTGCCTAACCAGAAAAAATTATTAAATTAAAATTTTCCATTAACAGTGTCACATCCTGACTCATCTCCTGAAGAGTATTTAGTTGCAATCAGTGTGCAATCAGAACAGAAACTCTCGTAAGACCATTACATTAAATAGGTATCTTTAGCAATTTAAAATGGGGCATGCCTTTATATATAGATATCTATATATACGTTTGACATATGTTAGTGAAACACCTAGGGTGAGATCAGTAAGAGGAGCAGGCCTTTTGACTTCCATGGGAACAGCGCTCAGGCACTGCCAGGCTCTGCAGAAACGTTCGCGCAGCCTCTCCATGCGGAGAGCTGCTGCCCCGGAGATGTTGAAATTCTCTTTGCTGTATCAAAGCAAAAGTAGACAACAAAACACAGAAGAAAACACAAAGTACAAAGATATATGGCAGGACCTGGGCTTTGGTATTTCTTAAGCCTCTTTTTCCCCAGTTCCTGCAGCAGCCCATGAAAATAAACAATGGAACAGTGTTAACTCTCCCCAGCAAACATACACACATCCTGGTTCCCACATCCTCCAGTCATCCCTCTAATAATATCACAAAAAGTCAGCTTTTGAGTAAAAAAGTTGCAGAAGTTTACTTTGTTGCTATAGAGACAGAACATAACCCCAGTGCCCCCCAGTGCCAAGGGGTACTTGTCAATGAAGGCAGCCTGGCTGCTCCCCTGCCTGTTGGCTGAGGGGACTTCAGCAAGCTCCTGCTCCCTTCTCAAGCACACGTGGTGGGAGAGGCTGCACACATGAGTTTACCGCAGCTGGTGGATGACACGTGGGCAGTGTCCCCTCTGAAACCATTTTTCATTCGCACTACGCTTCCACCAGCAAAGCAGTGTATGCAAATCCCTGTTCCGTTTGATTTCTCCTCAATCTCCCTGCAGAAAAGTACCCAGCAGGATACCTCTACTCTCATTAACTAATGAAAACTTCACTGACATGAGCTTGTGCAAAACATAAAGCTCTCCAGAAGTGGTATTCAGATTGCTCATAAACATCCTCCTGTGGATGACAGGGATCAGGGCATCACCCCATTGCATTCTGCTGAGAGCCAGAATTTGTTCAAGAAGAGAGGAACACACTGGCAGGACTTTTTACTGGTTCATTTGCAAATATTAGCAGATCATATAAACATCTAAAATGCTTGCAGCCCTCTAAAATAGGATAAGCTCCTAAGAACACTGTCCTGCTGGCTGGCATTCAGGAAGGTTATCTGCGGATTCTGTTGCAACCTACATGAAGGGATTTAAGGAGGAAGAGCACGATCAAAGCTGTATCTAGCAGAGGAGAAACACCCATAGCAAATAACTGCAAAGAAAGACCCTCCCCTTCAATAGTTCTGGGGTTTTTCCTTATCCCTTCCCTTAATGAAAATCCCAAAGCATGACAGAAAAGTACCAGGAAAACAAAGCGTTTGTTTTACTGAGAGTTTGCAAAGAACCCAGACGTACCATGAGGGTTTGCCTGCAGAGCTGACGGTGATGCTCGGCTCATGAACGGTCTGAGCAGCAGAACCATTGGTGCCGTTTTCTGCATGACACATATGTGGCAACCAACGGGCCTAAACCTCATTCCCTGCTTAAAGACATCAGCTAAGCACAAGCAGTATTAGGTATACCCCCTGCGGTATTAGGCAGGGGGAACGTCGCGACGGGATGCATGTCCAGGCTCCCCTTGCCAGACTCTGGCATTTGCTCCACGCTTGTGGTGTCTCTGTGCCGAAGTACTGTACCAGTGCTCGGGGTGGGCACAGCTCCACCACAAGCTCCGTACTGCAGCGGCAAAACCGCCCCCTGCCAGCGAACCGCATGTGGCAGGGCAGGACCGAGTGTTCACCTGCGCCGGCACGAGGAACCCCTGCAGATGGCCAGACCACATCGCAGCCCTCGATGAGGAGCATTACCCTGGCAAGAGTTTGTGCGTGCCGCACTCACCGACAGCCCCCCGCTGGGTCTTCCCGGGCGGTTTTGGTGGGCTCTTGGCTGTGCGGGAAGGGAGGAACCGACATACCACAGGAACATGGGCTAGGCTGCTTCGTGGGAAGCAGAGCCCACCAAACAAACAAATCTGAATACGGGCGTCAGGGCGGCTGCGTTTCCTCCTGAGCTTGAGGTATGAATCAGAGTCGAGCCGAGTCTTACGCCTGACAAACCAAGCCCGTGTTTCTCAG